CACAGGGGTCGCCTAAGACCATCGGAAAACACATATATAATTACATATCATTTTTGTGATTAATCACTATGCTTTAATTATGTTCAACTTGTAACAATGAAATTGGGGGTCACCACAACATGAGGAACTGTATTAAAGGGTCGCGGCATTAGGAAGGTTGAGAACCACTGACTTATATTAATACAAAAAGATAAAATAGTATTTGGTTAAAGACTATTTAACTTTTGATTGACAATCAACACAGAGTGAGAAAAGCTAATTTCTCAGAATATTTCATAATTCCTTTAGAATTTATCACAATTAGATTATAGTTTGTCAGAAATGGTGATTTCTTCCTAAAAAGGAGATTGTCAATGTTATCATACAAAAGTTATATCCCAGACAAGGTTTGAGACAGTTTTTCATGATCACCCTCTAATGATCATAACTTTTCTAATTTTTAAATGGTTAGCATATGAATTAGCCCAGGGGGTGAGTCACCTAAGTCACAAGTTGCTGAAATAGCATAGCCTGATTTTTTTAAAGGTGTAAAATGCTCTGTTTTGATACTAAAATGGGCTACTGAGAAATTGTGAAAGATCCTTCAAATTTTTCAAAAATAATTCATGCTTTGTCTAAAGTCAATTAAGTGACTTCTTTTTAAAAAAAAGTATATTTTTATTGATTTCAGAGAGGAAGAAGAGGAGGAAAGAGATGTAGAAACATCAATGATGAGAGAGAATCATTAATTGGCTGTCTCTCGCACACCCCACACTGGGGATAGAAACTGCAACCCAGGCATGTGCCCTGACCTGGAATCAAACTGTGACCTCCTGGTTGATAGGTTGGTGCTCAACCACTGAGTCACACCAGCTGGGCAGGATATGTTTTTATTGATTTTAGAGGGGGGGAGAGAGAAGGGGGGGCATTGATGTGAGAGACAAACATCGATTGGTTGCCTCCTGTAAGTGCCCTGACTGGGGATGAAACCCATAGGCTAGATATGTGCCCTGGTGGGAATCGAACCTACCACCTTTTGGTGCACAGGGTGGTGCTCCAAACTGAGCCACCCGCCAGGGCTGATGTAGTTTTGACTAAAGAAAAAAAATTTAGTCTGAACCTAATCAAGTGTCTAGATCTCATACCAAATTACAAGAAATACAGAGGACAGAGAAGTTAAATAACACTACAAGGAAGCAAACAGCGATGTCAGCAAAGATGAACAACCTGCTTTATCTAACAAATCAATGGCATAAAAAAAGAAGATAATTCAGAAATCTTAAGAGCTTCAGCAGATGCAATATGTAGACCTTGTCTGAATCCTAATTAGAACAAATCAACTGTAAAACATCTCTCTCCCCAACCAGCTTTATTGAGGCATCATGGACAAACAAAATTGTATATAGTATTTAAGGTATGCAAGATTATGTTCTGACATATGTGTTCATTGTAAAATGTTTACCACAATCAAGCTAATTAACATATCTGTCCCTGCACATAGTTAATTTTTTGTTTGCGAGAACAATTAGGAGCAGTTATTTTAGCAAATTTCAAGTATGCAATACAGTATTGCTAACTATAGTCACCCTGCTGAATATCTCCAGAATTTATTCATCCTGCAAATCTGAATTTATATATACATATCTTTGACCAATATTTCCCCATGCCCCAGCCCCTGGTAACCATGCCCTGTAAAATGGCATTTCTGAGACAAATATGAAAAATTAAATATGGTATTAGATGATCTTAAGAATCATTTTTAATTTTGCATGGTAATTATGTTTTAAGAAAATCCTACAGTTAAAAATGCATACTAAATATTTATAGGCAGAATGATATAATTTCCTTGTTTTAAAATATTCCAGAAAAATAATGTTGGGAATAAAAATAAAAAAATTAGTAAAAATGTTGATAAATGTTTAAGTTAGATGGTAGTTTAATGGAGGTTCACTTTTGTGTATTTAAGAATTTTCTAAATAAGAAAGTAGAAAAAAAATATTTTTTAAAAATATGTTTTTATTGATTTTTAGAGAGAGAAGGGAGAGAGATAGAGAGAAAGTTCATTGATTTGCTGCCTCCTGCACATGCCTCCACCAGGGCCTGAGTCCAAAACCCTGGGCATGTGACCTGACCAGGAATCGAACCTAGACCTCTTGGTTCCTGGGTCAACACTCAACCACTGGAGCCACACTGGCTGGGCAAAAACAATAGTCTTAAAAACACATTCACATGAAATCCATACATTTTGATTATTTATTTATCTCTTTTGATTATTTATTTATATTCATTTCTGCCTACTTCTAATGTGTGTGTGTGTGTGTGTGTGTGTGTGTGTGTCTTTAGATAAAAGTACAATAGTAGTTTGACCACCAAAGGGAGTCTTGCCCCCCCTCTAGGTAGAAATCAGGAGAGGAGGCAAAACAAATCCAAAAGGTAGAGAGAAAGAAGAAAGGGAGTGAGCCTGATGCACCAGGGGAGCATTAGACTAACAACAGCATGGCTCCCCCAAACTGCTGCTGGGGTCAGGCTTATATAAGGCGGGGCTCTTCACGCAGGCGCAGAGGGAGCTCTTTGCTTTCCAGGCTCCCCCCATTGGCTGGTATCTCCTGGAGCAGGTGCGGAGCAGAGCTCTGAAGAGAAACTTTAAACTTATCCAGGAGAGGCTTAAAAAAAAAAAACTAAC